GACTTTTCCTTCTTCCTGCCTCCCTACGTCCCATCCCTAAAAGACACGTTTAAGAGCAGTGCCGGTGAGGCAGGCAAGCCGCATGTCTCCTTGCCGGTAGGTGTTGCAAGCTTTGCTTTCGGGGAGTTTCCCTCCATTACACTCTCAACCCAGGGACACACATGGTTGAATGACCACAATGGGGACCAGTTACCTCTTTTGAGCCTGTTTTGCTCCCTCATGCCTGGCATAAGTCTGTATACCAGCTAACACGAGGCGTTACAGGGTGTCCCATAAAGGCACTATGGTAACCAAGGCAGACAAGGTTCTTTGGGTTAATCTGATGTCTTTTCTTAGACCAACTCTGATAGTTGGAAAAATTCGTCTTTGCAAGGGTTTGGGCATGAGCAGGCTGAGGAAGTGTCAGTGGTTGGTGTGTGCTCTCCCTGGATGGCCACACGATGCCACAGAAGCAGGTAGCACAGCCCTGGGGTCATTGTCAGTCCTTGAGAGGGACGGAGCCAGAGGAGACTCCAATATCTAATATCTCCAATATCTCTCTTGCCACAAGTTACCTTTTGTTCTGTCCTGAATGGCCGTGGAGAACAATTCACCGTTGTCCTCTCTATAACAGGCTTTTACATATTGGGTGACTTATCATAGTCATAACGTAGTCACATCGTCTCCTCTTTTCTGCACTAAACAAGCCCGGTTCTCTCAGCCTGTCTGTGCTAGTCGCGTATGCTGAACCTCTGGTCGCTTGTGTTGCTCTGCACTGACTCCCTCCAGCTCGTCTACATCTGTCTTAAACCGTGGTGCCCAAACCTGGGCGCAGCATTGCAGCTGAGGCCTCTCCAGTACCGAACACAGTGGGATAATTATTTATTGCGTCTGACATTCCTGTTAATACATCCCAGAATGACATTTGTCTTTCCTGCAACAGTGTCACATTGTTGACTCGTATGCAGATGTACTTCAACTTTTCAGTGTTTTTTCTGAACAGAAAATGCATAGGACTAGATTTCATGGTGAAAGAAGAGCTACAGATACTGATGTACGTGCCCACAAAAATATGCCAGTAGTTACACATCATGATACTTTCCCTTGCACTCTCATTATGATCTTTCCTTATGTTTCATCTGAGGACTAATGTGAATATTATTAAGAAAGCTAGGATCAGAAGCAGTGGATGGGACACTGCACTGGGACTCAGGCAATATGGGTTCACTTCCCATCTTTGCCACAGCCTTGGACAAATCACTTGCACTCCTGTACCTCAGTTTTCCCATCTGTAAAATGGGGCAATGATATTGGCCTTTTTTATAAAGTCCTTTGAGATCTGTGATAAAAAGCGCAACGTAAGAGCTTGGTGCTATTATTATTTACCAACCCTTACGAGCTGATGGTTCGGTACTGCTGTCTCGTCGGTGTTCTTTGAGGGACACGTATAGTGCTGAGTATTTAAGTTAATGTTAGCAGTAAAAGGCAGGCTCTTCAGATGCCATATTATTGCTGCTGGTCTTCTAAATAAAATGGGTCAGACTCTTGGTCGATGCAAGTTGGCATAACTCGATTCACTTGAGTGGCGCACGGCCAATCTATACCTGGCTTTTGTGCAAAATCAGAGCTCGTATCTATTTGCACATCTCACTAAACTTCCACGTGACGCCTCCACCCGGCTGGCACGCGTGGTGCCAGGGGGTGTCAGAATCGATCGAGCGGTCCTCGAGCAGGTGGACAGCTTGAGCTAGGCTTGCTCCGTCCTCAATGAGAAATGTGACAAGGCATTAGATATTCTGGAGGGCCAGAAGTGGCTTGATGCCACCCCAAACAGGAATATTTCAAGGGGAAAGCAGTTTAAAAAATGACAGGGTTTAGGTGTCTCAGCCTGATCATGCCCATAAATAACTACAGCTAGGAGAAGTGAACACAGCTGCACTCTGGCATGTTCTTTAGAGATTTAGCATTAGTGGCATTTGACCTAGTTTTATGCAGAAAGACAACAACCTGGAGACGTTTCTTTCAGAGCGAGACACCAATAAAGCATCTGCCTCGTGGGTAGAGATGACATTGATGGAGTGAAGTTAACTAGGTGAAGTTTGCAAGACAGCACAGGGGTCTAGAAAATCAGATGTTATCAGCCCTGTGCTGTCGACCTGTCTCTTTGCTGGCATGCTACACAGCCGCGCAAAGTAGAGATGGAGAAACCCTATTAGACCAGTCCAATTCCTAAAGGATCTCATTTTTTTTCCCAAAACATTTTTCCATATCTGTTCCAGGGAGGCGTCCGAGGGGAAAAAAATAAATCCATTCCTTTTTTCATTTTGGTTTAGTCCCTTCTTCAGCTCTTTTCTACACCTTCTTTGTTTTGTTGTAGCAAACTCTTCAACCTTTTTGATCAAAATGTAGATGTCACGTGCAAAATTCAACTGGAAGTGGTGGAATATTTGTTCAGGCTTTTCAGCCACGTCATCAGGGCGGCTGCCGTTGCCTGCTAGCCCATTTTGTTGTCACTTGCTGACGCTGTCATTGAGATGTTGTCTAAAATGAAAAAGGTAACATGCCAAGAAGTCAAATAAGCATGTTGCCACCTGGTGAGAATAGGAATGTATATTCTGCATTAGCTTAGTCAACTCAAAGAAAATCCAAAGATACCAACTTGTCTTCCTACCTGTAGCAACTACCCCAGCAAAGGGAATTCCCTGTGGGCCTAATCCAAGGACGGTCAATGCCGGACTTTGGTAGAGGTGAAGTGAACTGTGAAAGGTCAGTCATTCCAGGTCATCGGCATAGCTCCCAGTGAGCCCAGCAGCGCGTGCATCTTTGTGTGGACGTACCACAGATGCGGAAAGAGAACCGGTTGCGCGTTGCAAAGCTTTTCCTGTTCCCAGGTTGCGTGGTACTCGTGAGGGCAAAGTCCCGGGTGAGCGATGTAGGATGATCCAAAAAAGATCCCTGTATTTGCTGCTCAGAACTGTCTTTAGCACCAGGCTACCCTCAGTACCAGGAGTGCAACTACCCCTGCGTAGGGAGGAAAGGGGCAGTGAGACGAGGATATTTTTTCAGTGTAATGGCTGGCTGGCCTCTATAGCACAGTTCCAGCTTGGAAGAGCTTGGACCCCACACAGGCAAGTTCAGCAAGCTGAAAACCTGGGCTCCCGTGACTGTTTCGGGAGACAGTTCATGCCAAGTGATGTATAAATGGTACCAAGGCCACGTTACCGTGTATTGGCTCCTGTGCTGTATCACCTGGCAGTGCCATTACAGTACGGCAGCAAAACAGCCGCTATTTCTTAAATGACGCTTGCGTGCACTATCAATGATGTCGGGAGAGTTTCTTCAGTAGGAGTTGTCTCGTCTTAGCCTGTTTTGTGCTGCTTTTCCTTTCAGTAGAAGAAACTTCTTATAAACCGTAGGATGGTGTTGCAGCCGGTCGGACTACATGATATAGATCAGATGTTGCCTATGTGCTGTTTTAACGCTCCAGTTCTTCCTCAGTGAATGATTTAACACCAAAAACGAGAGAATGGGAGAAGAGAGCTTTTCATGTCTAAACTTGTAGTCCAGAGCAGAACCAGGACATTTCTGGTGTGAAGCAGGACCAGGCCAGGATCTAGAAGCTGCCACTTTGGTGGTTTTACTCTGTTTCTCCATCAAAAAATCTCAGCACTGCCAACCAGGTTGCAAGTGCTTTGTGCAGAGCCTGGCATAACAGGGTCTTGATCCTAGGCAGTAGTGACTGATTTATTTAGTCAGTGTTATGCCCTGCCACTTCTAGAGACGGTGCCTCCAGCTCAGTTAAAGCCCACAGCCAGGCTTGCTGTCGCTGACTTGTCTATAAAGGAACTTCTTGTTCCAGGGCTAAAACTCCGGCACTATTTCTCCAGCTATAATTTACATCTTCTGTCTTAGATTGGGGTCCCCTCCCCACCCCAAAAGCATCCTGCGCTATCCGCAGGTGCAACTATCTCCTCTTTTGCCCAGAATTCAGCCGCAGCGGAGCGGATAGCCACACAAGGTACCCCGGGCCTCTAGCTTAGGCCTAGGGCTGCTTGCTGTCCTTGCAGGGACGTTTTGGTGACTCATTTGCCGACTTCCTGGGGGCGGTGGCTGGGGGCACGCGGGAGGAGTCATGGTGGGATCTGGAAACCACAGGCCAAGGCACTAAGCTCATTTATTTGAGATACTGGCAATACTCGGACGCAAAAGGCTCAGCAGCAGCTTGTCCTCGTGGGGTTCAGCCACCCCTGAGCGCTGACAGGGAAAGCAGGGAGGTTTTTGCACACGCAACCGTCCTGCCGGGCGGGGGTTTCCAGGATGGGGGCCTCTTAGCATCCCCTCTCGGGGGGCAGCTTGGGTGTGGTCCCTCCTCATCCGTGGAGCTGCTTTGGGCCTCGGGGAGGCGTTTGAAGGCGTAAGGCTACAGAGCCGGGGGGAAGATGCGTCGTCTTCGTGCCGTCGGGGCGCGGGTGGGTTTGTCCGCCTCGTGCCACCTGCGAACGAAACGTGGCAGTCCACCTCCTGCAAGCCCTGGTCCCGGGCAGACCCGAGGCGGAGCAGATCCGGCGTGCTGGGCCTGGAGCACCGCTTTCGGGTCCATCCTCTAATTCAAACCTTTGCTGCGTGTCCGCGTAATGGGGGGCCGCGGGCCAGTCGTGCTGCCATCAGGCGCACCCAAGCAGCGTCCTCCCCCCGGGGCAGAAACCGAAGTGTCCCCCGAGCCGCGCCGCCATGCTGCGCCCGCCCGGCGCCGCGGGGGTTAAGGCGGGGAGCGCGCTGCCCCTTTAAGGCGCGGTGACGCGGCGCTTTGATGAGGTCCTGGCAACTTTGTAGCAACTCGGCGGCGCGGGGCCGCGGGGGGGCCGCGGCGGGGG